AGACCAGTGCGCAAGGTCCAAAAGCTGACACGGTCATCAAGCCCAGATTCCAAGCCAGGTGACTAGTAGTACTCTTGACATAGGCTTCTTTCTAGAGCTGTATGTTCAGAGATTAGTTATCCACCACTAGATTTTTTTTTCCCTGTTTACAAAATTTTCCTTTCTCCTAGTGCTGTGTGCAACTCAAAACAACAGCAGATTGTGCATATATTTCACAGGGGTTGTCTGAGAACATTCACCAGCGCGCTGGAAACCAGCAGGACTGTTCTTGCCCTCCGCATCTGCCTGTGTCTTCTTTCTCGAACATTTACTGGCAGGGACACACCCATCTGAGTTCCATGAATGCTTTTGCCAGTCAGTCATTAACAATAGAGAGACTCCAGACAGTTTCCCCTCAGCTCCCCACCTTAGGACTTCACAGCTATACCATCTTGTCCTAATCAGAAGCCTAAATAGTGTAAGTTACCAGTCCAGTCTGCTCCTCCCTCAGTGTGGAGAGGAGAATGCACCAGCTCCTGTTCCTGAGCAGATTTCCCTTTGCACTTCAAACACCACACTGTTTTAGGTAAAAAATGTAAAATAGATGTATTACCTACAGAAAGATAGATTTAAGTGATTATAAGTAATAAGTGTACAGATCAAAGTAGATTACCTAAGAAATAAAACAGAATCGCAATCTAAGTTCTATAAACTTGACAGGATTTGAATCAAGCAGTGTCTCATCCTGATGGTATAAACAATTCACCAATCTTCCATATGCTGGCTGGGAATCTGGATCTTCCTTTCCAGCCTGGGACCACCTCCACAGTCAAAATCTTTGTTCTTGAGGTGTTTCTAGGTGTTGAAATACAGGTGCATAGTCCATATACATATCTTTATACAGGCAGTCCCCGGGTTACGTACAAGATAGGGACTGTAGGTTTGTTCTTAAGTTGAATCTGTATGTAAGTTGGAACTGGCGTCCAGATTCAGCCGCTGCTGAAACTGATCAGTTTCAACAGTGGCTGA